TTTGTATGTATGGATCACTTGGGTTGTTACCGACATCTGGTGAAAATTTCATATCATTAGCACCTCTAGTAATATATTTACTGTGAAAAATGGTGACGTGTTCAATACCTATTTTACCCGCTGTACATCCTGATAGTAAATATTTATCTGAATTATTAACGTGTGTCTCTGAAAAAAGACTGTTGTCCTGTCCTCAGTGTTGTAAGAGTGAGGAGATAAACAACACACAAGCAGCAGTGTGTGGGAGAGTTTTTAAATTAGGCCTTAACTGAACGCCCACACGTCTGCTGAATCAGCAACAATCAGAACTGACAGCGTTTCCAACCAGAACCTCAACATACCTGTTTGCAGACACGTTTTCCAGTTACCAGGAAAAGTTTCACAATTTATCTGTCTTGGTTTGTCAGCAGACGATCATTAATTTTATAAAATCAGTTGAAACATGTTTATGCTATTTTCCCCCAACATGTCTGTAAACCTCGTGTCAGGGTGAAAACAGTTTGAGGCAGCAATTTGAAAAAGTAGGCTGACCAATAAAAGGGTTTTGATGGCATATTTTGGTGGCAGTTAGGTGAAGTGAATCAGCTGAGGCTTTGTTGTGAGAACAGCTTCATCCCCAAATCCAGCTGCTTTTCTTCTTCTTCTGTTGGTGATGAAAAGAGTAAACGCTGTGGAGACGTCCTCACTCAGACTGACACTGCTTTCTTCTTCACAAACCTGTATTTTACAGGCACAAATGCTACAAAAACAAAATCTTAACTCAACTGTTATTATTGTCAGGTTTATAGAAAAGAAAACATTCTGAAATCCACTAATGCTGGACTGAAACCTATAACTCTGGTCAACACAAAAAATAAATAAAACTCAGTTTTTTCAGCTGACTTAGAAATATTTCACTGAGTTGAACCTAAAAATCACAGTCGTTTTGCTCCATCAGCTCAACTTTTTGAGCAATAAGCAAATCTTGATTTTTTACAATTCTGTTTACATGCATTTTTTATTTGATTTCAATTTTATTTATTTCACATTCTAGAAATGAAATTACTTATTCAGACTGCAAGTTAATGGGTGATGTCATCAATTGCAAAACATCATTTACTTAATTGGCTTCTGGTCATAGTTAGTAAGACTAAAGTGAAAAGCCTCTATATTACATAAAACTTAATAGCTTCAACCAGAAGATCTTCCAAAAATAAACCTGACGTTTTCTGTTACATCTGTGGTGAATACAGCCTTGTGCCTAACAGGAATCCAGTCACACGTTTCATACTTATTTAAGCTTATTTTGGTATAAAACCTGGAGATCAGGACAAAGTTTGGGCGCCACACTTGGTCTGCAGACCAGCAGTGAGTATCTGTGTCAGCGGACAAGAAGAGTTGTCTGAAACACAAGTTCAAACCTGAAATTTAGAACAATGACAGTAACATGCACTTTACATGTCATTAATTAATTTATTAATGTGGACTGCTACATTTACAGTAACCAATGTTTGTAACATTTCATCAATAAATTATGTTGGAAAACAATTTATATCTTAAAGTTCTAATTCAGATGAGAAATATTACTAAAAATCAAAAAGAAAAAAATTGTATAGGTCTTCTGGACGGGTTCTTCTCTAATGAAACGTTTCGTCTCTCCTCCAAGAGACTTCTTCAGTCTGAGAGTTTCAGGCAAAATTCAGGCTTTTAAGCCCTGCCTCCATGTGACTGATATTCACATCACATGGCTATCGTTGACACCTAATTAACACTTATTGTTAACAGGGGGTGGAGTGATACTGGCAATGGCCACGCTCTAGGAGGGGGACAACTGAAAACGGAGGCCTCCACCTCTGTTTAATGATGGACGGTCTTTCTTCACAAAAATGGCTTCTTTCTGGGCTTAAAAGCCTGAATTTTGCCTGAAACTCTCAGACTGAAGAAGTCTCTTGGAGGAGAGATGAAACGTTTCATTAAAGAAGAACCCGTCCAGAGGACCTATACAATTTTTTTTCTTTTTGATTTTTTACCTGGATTACTGAGATGCATCAGGACATTACTATAAATCAACCGATGATGTCAAAAAATGAAATTATCATTAATAATCCATTTAGACAGAACACTCAGATTTAAAAAAAACCTAGCATAAAAACATGGCCTGATTGATAGAAATAAATGTTATTTTTGGATTCAGCTGTGGATGTTTGTAATAAATCAATTGTCAAAAGATAAACTATTTTCAAAAAAAAAAATTCTGTAACTGTGTGTAATTTACAGACCATCTGAACAACTTGACCCGATGCCAGCGCTTTACAAACCACACAGAAACAAATGATTTTAGAAATTCTCTAACCATTAACACATGTCTAACACATGGTGCATTAATATGAGCATTACATATACTGTACACACACTGTATATAGAAGAACAAACAGATCTCATTGAAGGTTGTATAACCATTACTCAGTAATATTAGGAACATATCAGGTAGTTTTGTGTAATCTGAGAACAGTTCTTTGATGTTTCCTTTCTTGACAGGATTAAGAAAAAGCACCTGATTAAATCCAACAAATTCATGAACAAAACATGAGATTCTGACTTTGAGTCTTGGAACTGAGAAAAAAAAACTCAAAATAAATCCATTTAACTATTTTAATTTACCAAATCACTGAGATCAGAAAGTTGTGAGAAAAAAGGCAAACTTTGTGTGGTTTGATGGTTAACACAGCTACATCTGCTTACATGTTTAATATTTCATCCTCCGGCTGCCAGGATTGTTTTAGTTTCTGTAAACATGGAGGATTGTGTCTTCATCCATGTTCCAGTCGCAGTGATCCTTCAGAGCTCACATCCAACGTGTTAAAGAAAAAAAACAAGTGTGATAAATGCTTTTACAATCAATCTGATGCATTTTCTTTTTGCGTTTCACACACAGCGTCATGTATACAAATATTTATTATTAACATCTGAAAGGACATCTTACACAGTCAGCCTTACTTCATTAAACATGTTGTGTTTACAGCAGGATCTCACAGCCAAAGAGATAAAAAAAAAAACAGAAAAATAATGCATGCACCGTTCCTGTAAACAGGAAAACATGTCAGTTTTGACATTACACACACACACACACACACACACACACACACACACGATACTGATATGAATGTAAAAACAAACTGATTTATTCAAACAGATCAGAGTGGACCTAATGAAACAACAACAGCAATGTTCACTCAGTTCTTTGAAAAGTCAGATTCAGTGATCGGCGTTTTTGTGTGTGTGTCTTTTGTCCTCGTGGGTCTTAACTCGACAAAGGCACTTTGGATTTCTCACACAACTACACAACTGAGTGTTGATTTTTAATGAACAGAAATTAAGATTTTGATTTTTGCAGATTTAACCTCTGAACACGGTGACAATGCTGCCTTCACTTCCTCTGATCCCTTTAACATCTCATTTTCACTAAGTGAAAAACCATAAGTCAAATTATGACAGTTTTATTTGGTTGTTTTAGATTTCAGCTGTGTTCTAAACAGTGTTTCTACAGCCACTTGCTCTCATCTGTCTTAGCTCTGCAGGATAATGTAGTAAACTACCAGTCTGCAGCTTTCCTGCTTGTTTTTACTGCTTTTTATCATTGTTTCCAGCAGCAGGCAACTGTCTTCAGATCAAACAGATCCAGCACCAATTGTTAAAATTACAGTAAATAAAACAACAGCAATAATCATACAATGTGCCAGATGTTTCCCAGGGGAAACGTGATGGAGTCACAGCTGTAGTTTTATTGTCAGGGAAACCAGGACTGATAATGTTGTTTTTTTAATGGAGACACTTCTAAACTGGCAGATGTTTATGAAAGGACATAACTGTTTTGTTGCTGCTTGTTTTTCTTTTTCCATGTGGTCAAAGTTTTAAATGTAGCTTTAGGTACAAATCCAAATAAGTTTTTTAAATATTTTAGCTGAATCTTCCTCTCAAACTTTGTGAGACCTCTTACTATCACATTGTTACATGTTATCCTTCGCTAAATCTGCATATAAATACTGTTAGTTTAATCAGTACATGTACTATATTTATTGTTTACAGTATGTTAGTTGCAAAGCATTATGGATAAATCTCAGTCGGCTGTAGGTTAGTTTGTATCCCACTGCTGTGGGGGGATATTTCTGAATAACGATGAGCTTGTTGTTCATTTTCCTGATTCAAAGTAAAACTTAAAAACTATTTTGGCATGAAAATCAATTTCTGAAAAAAAAATCAGTGAATAAAAGTTTGATATTACAAAGTAAATACCCAAGATATAATAAAAAAGACCAGTGAACACGTGTCAAACTCTAGATCTGTGGGTCAAACGTGGCCCGCATGACTGCTGTCTGGCCCACAATATACACATTTATTACATTTTTACTGAATATAAAAAATTTATATCAATGATAAACAAATGTACGGTTAAATGCAACAAAATAAATTTAAAAGGTGAAAGATAATACTTTTCCTGTACCTGTAACTGAGCAATTTAGTTGATAAAACATCATTAATGTCTAAAATTAAGCTGCTATAAAGCCAGAATTGACCATAAACTACATCTCCCATAATGCATGTGATCATAAGTGGGAATTCCCAGTAGGAAAATGGGAGAGTTCAGAATTTAGGATGGCAGCTACTCACAACTCATCAGTGAGTAAAACTCTTACTTCTGATAGATTTTCTGTAGTTTTTATTTCACATTTAGCCATAAACATAGACTTTTCAGTGTTTATAAGAGGACTTGTTAAAACGCTGTTTCTATGCAGGAAATACCAGGTAGAGCTAAGTTATTTAGCAGTGCTCAGCCGTAGCAATGTGACGAGGAACGTCATGTTTCATGTTTAAAGTTAACCACAACCATAACGCTCATGTGGCCCTCGGTGAACGTGAGTTTGACGCCCCTGAACCTCCATCAGTTTGACTGCCGTCCTGCTGGAGGAACCACTGATGACAACGTTTATGTTTGTATTTACTTTATTTGAACCAGAGCCTGTAAACAAAGTATGACAAGTTAACATGCACTTAATAAAAGAATAATCTGTCAGCTGTTTCACACAGTCCTGCAAATCTTCATCACATCAAACGTTCAGCAGAAAGTTCTCCTCTGAGGTCAAACCAATGGTAGCAATGCTCAGTACAGACCAGTACTTTCAGGGTATTTATTTACCAGGTTGTATGTTGTACTTACAGGGATACATATGTAGTACTTACAAAGTATGTAACTTCGACGCCTACCTGGTGCCTGGTAGATACCTGATACCTACGAGGATCCAAAATTATGTATTATGAAGTACCAAGTTACTCTGTGCCTATCAGGCAATTACCACAATAATGCAAAGTACGGAAATACCATACCAGGTATTTGTTTGTCAACTACCAGGTATAGATTTTTTATGTTTGTAATAGTAATGTCCTCTGTAAATACACAGGACTTACCAGGAGCATTCTTATGCAATACATACGTTGTAAACACCAAGTACATGCCAGGTATATACCCAGTTTATACCTTGTAAGTATCAGGTATGTACTCTGTAAGAACCTGGTATGTAACCTGTACGTACCATGTAATTAATGGGTCCATACTTTGTAAGTACCCAGTACATATTAAGTGAGAAGCATTTGGTACTTGTCAAATACCAGATTCATACCCTGTAAGTATTCAGCACGTTCATAGTATATACCTGCTATGTACGGTATACGTACTGGGCTGTGTTTTGTATTACTACCAACCAAGGTAGTTTACTTGTCTGTTTACCTCTACGATATGCTGTGTACAGTATAAGTACTCCTCACAGCAGTTTAACAAACGTACTAAGATTTGAACTTTATTGATCCGAACAACACGTTCTTACTTCTATATTTGTTTCCTGGCTCTTTTTTTATTATTTAAAATTTTAAAATGTTATTTTAACACTTGGCCATTAAAAAACAAACCAGTCACACAAAATAACAGTTGAAGCTCTACACTTTTACCTAAAAAGAAGTCATTTTGGTCCACAAAGAGCAAGTCACAAAAGTACAAAGAAAAACAAAAAAAGAAAAGAAAAAAACAACATAAATAAGTAAGATAATTTCATTTTGTTAATACAGTCAATAACAGAATGATATGACAAATAAGACCATTGTGGTGGTTCAGTTGGAATGTTACTTAGATTTTAGTTGTGAAGACACAAACGGACATAGAAAAGTGGGGATTCGCCTTCTCAGGAGTCTCGACTTGTTAAAACTTACTTTAATCTAATGACAAGTCAGTTTTAGTTAATACCTATAGCTACTTATCACTGGTTAGTCACACCTTTAAATGATTTACTATCCACACGGACCAACATTTCACCACCCTGAGGCCTCTGATCTGTGTCTGCGTGATTGTGATCATGGTGATGAAGGTGCCTTCAGGGAGTTGGTGGATCCTCCTTGGCTTCCCGTCACTGTCGCTCCCTGTCCGAGCCACTGGTGCACAACAAACCACTGTTAGTTACGAACAGAAGCAAAAATAATAATAACATAAAAACAATCTGAATTGAGCATTAAAGTGCCTGTAACACATTTTTTTTAAATGTTACCTTTGGCAAAGATAATATTATTATAACAAAATAAATTCCACGCCTCTGAGACGAACGGTTGTAGAGATATTTGAATGTGAAGAAACAGGAAGTGATGTCAAAGGGGAGTGTCTGAAAGTGAACAGAGCACTGCTACAATAACAGACTGTAGAGAAGAATCTGATGATTCTTCAGGTCATTTTGACTTTCTATCAGAGAGAGGAAGAAAAGTCAAATAATGTTGTTGCAATAAACAAAAACCAGAGAGTTCCAGAGTTCCCCTTTGATGTCACTTCCTGTTTCACTTTGGCTGAGCCAAATTCAAAAGAAAAGATGTTAATGTGACAAATTGAGTAAAATCGTGTAGTATGCCAAGTTTCGTAAATATAAAGATGTTTTCTTTGACTTTTTGTGTTTGAAGGATGGGCACATCACAGGAACTTTAAGACCTGCAGTGTGAGTGTAGCTGAAATCAAGAAACTTACTTAGATTTTTTTTAATAAGTTGAGTTTGATCTGAATTTAACCTGTCCAGGAGCAGGCTGACAGTTCTGAGTCATTTTAATGTGAGTACAAACCCAAAGGCCAGAGATTTAGGCTCAAAGTGGAGCATTCCCCTGCGCTGCTCCTCTTTGTTCCTCAGCCACTCATTCATGTGACAAAGTGGAGGCGACTGAGCTTTCAGCTCTCTGTGTATCATCTCCTTCCCACCCAATATCATCAGAATTGGCTCAGAATTCCTCGGGGGAATCCAGGAGCATTTTGTTGTTGTTTAAATTGTGTTTTTGCTATGCTGGTGTGTGTTTGTTTGCAGCCACGTTTTTAAAGATCAAGTGGGTGAATTATTAATGTTCAATGGGAGAAGCGAGGGGATCAGTGACCTGTGAGCGTGCATGCTGAACGTGCATGTTGTCGCATCAATTTGTTGTTTATTGATTCTATGTGCAAAACTCTGAGCCGACTGAAGCCTCCATGCTTTGCAGTAGATCCATGTCTCTCTGCGTCTCAACTTGTGTGTCCATGTGTGAAAAATCCAGCCATCCGAGCTCCCTCGGGGCTTCTGTGGGGATCTTTAAAAACTACACAAATAAGCCATTAGCTGAGATCTCAGAGTCTGCAGCTGCAGTCCAAAGCTGCCGGTAATGGCTTCGGAAAAGATCAACTCATTTGACAGACCCACATTAAGTGTGAGCATGTGTCTGTAGCATAGAGTGTGCAAAATACATAAATACAGTTCTCTGTAATCGCACCAAACACTGGAGATACAAAGACAGCATCTCTGGAGTCAAAATCTTTAGAAGTATCGAGGTCACTAAACCTTTATCAACACAAGCTGCTTCCTTGTGGTCCTTGATGCAACGCTAACCAAAACACAGGGGTCTTTAGACTTTTATGCAAGGGGTGGCACTAAGGGTGGCCAAGGTGTTATCTGCGTGGGTACATATATAAATAAAGATAACTACCATGGATTTGAACATTTATAATGGCTACCATCCATCCATCCATCCATCCATCCATCCATCCATCCATCCATCCATTTTCTCCCGCCTATCCGGGGTCGGGTCGCGGGGGCAGCAGCTTCAGAAGGGAGGCCCAGACCTCCCTC